ACTTCGCGCTGTGGATCGCCGGATCGGCTTTCACCGTGGACGAAGCGGAGTCGTCACATGTGGTTGCCGCAAGCCTGCCGGCCGCGCCGTTCTCAAGCCCGCCGGCCGCTGCTCACTCTAGCCTGCCGTGTGTGACGCTATTTGTTTAGTTGTGAAAGCAAAACTACTTTGTTTGGCCTTCCAAAAGAGGACACAACTAGAAATCAGTGGTTAAGTTGTTTTACTGTTCCAGAACAGTTCAACCCAAATATTCAGATGTGTGCAGCGCATTTTATTTGTTTCCTGATCCTGGAAGAGTAGACTACAATGCCGGCTGTTCTGACTCACAGTCTGTAAGTACGTTTTCATATTTAAATAAATTTGCCACTGATGATTCAAACGCAAGTTTTGAGCAGTGTAGAGTAGCACTTGTTGTTTGTCGTTTCTCCAATCACAAATGCAGACATGGTTTTATGTTTACGAGGCGCGAGGCAACGCGTAAAAAGACAGTATAAGTCATTATAATCCGTAATTATGTCCCCACTGGATGCAACAAATGCCTCGTTTATAATGGGTTTTTTAATGTTTTTGCCTCGTCACTCCATCACAGTATGGTAAGGGGCGTAAACATTTCCGTCACATGCTTGAGGTATTCGGCCAATCATAACGCACTGGATAGCTGGCCAATCAGAGCACACCTTGCTTTTCAGACCAATGAGCCTTGTAAAAATCAATGCGTTTCAGAAAGTCGGGGCACAGAGGAGAAACAATAATGTACAGTATGTGGAAAATAATGTGTTTTTAACCTTAAACTGCATAAACATTTCATTACGCCAAATACACAAAATAATGTTCTTTTTAGCAACATCATATGACCCCTTTAACATGTTTGTGGTAATTATGAGATGTGATAAAACAAATTTACTCTCACAGCGTAGGATACAGCGTCTTCTCGACATGATGTTAACCACATGGAAATTTGACTGTTTGTGGGTGGGCGACATAGAACTTGGCTGCCATTATGCAAATGTGTCATTTGTAACAGAATAAGATTCTAATTCCTGACGACTCGTTTAGGCGATTGCGAGCTGTCTCTTGTCTTTTGACAGACAATAACTTTATTTATCGTGCACTGTCGGCTTCACAAGCCATTATGCAAATGTGTCATTTGTAACAGAATAAGATTCTAATTCCTGATGACTCGTTTAGGCGATTGCATGCTGCCCTGCCCACATTGCAAGCGACTATATTAATATAAATTAATAATAAACATTAATAATAAAATACAATTAGTACCAAGATTCTACTGCATGACAGGTAATATTCAAAAAGGCATAATAGGGGCACTTTATAATTAACGGATGCTAACATTGTCTTCAATAATGTGCAACACAAACACCTCTGCTAAAATCTCAGAAAAAGTAGTTACAAAAAGTACAGCGAGTAACAGTCTGGGGTTTCATGACCCTTTAAATGCACTTCGCTGAGGCAACCTCTGCTTCGCATTGGGTGGTTCTTTGCCTCCACAAAGTGCATTTAAAATCCTTTAATGCACGGCTAGCATTGATTATCCTGCTTATTCCATGGTCAGTGGCGTAACTACAGACAGTGCAGCTTGTACTGGGGCCCATGTCGGGGGGGGGCGCTGCCCTGCCCACATTGCAAGCGACTATATTAATATAAATTAATAATAACCATTAATAATAAAATACAATTAGTACCAAGATTCTTCACAGTACTGAATACATAAATTTGCGTGAATTGTTTGTTTGTTTGTTTTAGTGGTCTAGTGGTAGAATTTTGTCAATCATTTCCGAGGTTCTGGGTTCTAATCCACCCTTGTGTAGTTTTTTTTCTTTCTGTCATTAAAACCAAAGGTGTTCAAAGGTATATCAAGAGCAAGGACATGTTTGTGTGCATTTTGTTTTGTGCTTTTACCAGAACAAAGCGTGCGATCGTCTGTGTGAAGACTGCGCACGAGTGCCAAGAGAGAACTGATAACAGCAGCAACGAGCGCTCGCCATAACACATTCCAGTGATAGATCGCCTGTTATTTAACACAGACCAACGAATTTGTTATCAAGTGGAGATGTGAAAGCGAAAGCGGAGATGTTAGGTACATCCGTGCGTGCTGCGAGATGTTGCAAAAAGTGGTGGGGGGTCGTGGGGACACACATTCCACCCATAAATAAAAATATAACACAGAATGAATAGTCTTGTTTTATTTGTTATATGTCATTTCCACGACTTTCCAAAAGAGGAGAAAAATATTGAGATTAACATGTCAAATTTCCCGTCACTCCCTCAGCCGTTGTATAGAAACACCCTCGCAGCAGCGCTAATTCTTTTTTTGTCATTTACTGTCAATATAATATAAGACAAAGTAGAGCATTATAAATGTGTTTTATTTTTAAATTAAGATATTTAAAAGTGACTAGATCTGTGATGTTGACAACTGTGGAAACGGGTCATCACAGTTCAATCTTAAGTCTCTATTTGATCATGTGACAAGACAACACTCCGGCGGCTAGTTTAAACGCATAAACGGATTAGCTGAGCAATATGCCATTCAAACATAAGTGGTTGTAAGAAAAGACAGGAGAGAAAAAATCAAGAGGAGAAGACAGCAAAGCTGCCAAAATTAGATTCTTTTGGATTTTTTACTACTTCCCAGTGCCCTCCCAGCAGCAATATTTGTACATTGGATCAGCATGCTTCACCAACTAACGTTACACCGCTGTCCTCATGTAGCAGGTAGTCTATCTAATGTTAGTGTATATATAATGTTAGCTAATGTTGGTGTATATAATCATATAATAATGTTAGGCTTTTGTGTTAGGTGTCAATTTAAAGAGATGATATGTCTACTTTTAACTTGGATATGTATTAACGTTAGGTTCCCTCTCGAGCTTTCACGAGACATCACAGAGATATTTCTCCGTTATGGGAACTCCTTCCCTTCCAACCTTTCCTGAAGTCCAACTGCGGGCATTGCACGGTGCTCCGGACCCGCCGCGATGTGGCTCGCGGCCTATTCGGGATGAGACCCACTGCCGCCAGTGTGCCGCTGGTGGGCCCTCCCGGTGACGGGAGTGTCGTCTTGTCGCTCCACCAACTGCAACGTTCGCCCCGTTCCCCGGTCTCACTCCCCGAGAACTGCTTCCGCCCTCCTTCCAACATCGCGGAGTTTGTGTCCTTTAACCAGGAGGAGGGGGATGACTCAATACATACTACTGGTATTTCAGGTCCACCCGGAAAGCTGACTCAAGGACGTCGGTCCCCTTCTTCCCCGACGTACATGAGCAGCTGGTGAAAACATGGTCTGCGCCCCAATCAGCACGTGTCCACTCTGCCACACAGGCCATTTTTTCCCACGTGGATGAGGCGGAGGCCCACGGGTATGTGCGCTCTCCCCCAGTTGAGGAGAACGTCGCTGCGCACCTGTGTCCTGCAGCAGCCAAGACCCTAGGCTCAGACATCAGCCTCCCCTCAAAGCCGTGCAGGACTACCGCCCACCTTGCCAGTAAAGCCTATGTGTCTGATGGCGAGGCGGCTTCCGCGCTGCACGCCATGGCAGTGCTGCAGGTTTTTCAGGCGAAGCTCCTGCAGGCAGCGAAGTGCGGAGCCCTCACGGCAGAGGCCATTAAGGATCTGCGCGCAGCGACGAACTTCGTGCTGATGGCGACAAATCGAGCGCCCATGCTGTGGGTTAGGCCATGGGTTTTATGGTCGTCCTTCAGAGGCACCTTTGGTTAAACCTAGCTGACCTCAAGGATGCTGACCGTAAAGTGCTGCTGAACGCTCCTGTGACTACCTCCTGCCTTTTTGATGACGCCGTGGAGTCCATTACTGAGCGCTTCGCGGAGGCTCAAAAGTGCTCCAAAGCCATGAATCAAGTGATGCTGAGGCGCACTTTCCAGCAGCAGACGGCGAGATCCAGATCCTCGTCGGGACCTGGCTCTTCCCAGCGGAGGGATAACCCCAGGCCAGTGACCGCGGCAGTGACGGCTACTGCTCCTCGCCAGGAGCCGAATGTCCGGAGGAAGGCCTGGGGTCCCGGGAGGAAACGCCATGGCCTCGCAACGTGACTCTCGCCTGCCGCCGGCTGCTAAGCCGACGTCCTGACGGTCTGAAGAGAAGAGGAGAGTGCACGAGCGGCCCGGCTCCCAAGCGCCACAAGTTCATGTTTTCAAATGTTTGTGTGTTGGATGTTCACTCAATAAAAATGCATACATTCTCACAAAAAGAGCTATTTCCTCCTCACTCAGTCAATGTGGTGCCGCTCGCCCCGCCTCAGAGCAGTGCAGAGCCGCCACCCACACACTTGCCGGCGCATCCAATGACCAAGCCGCTATGTCAGTTCCTGAGCGTGTGGGAAGTTATTCTGGGAATCTCGCGCTGGTTACTCGGTGTGATAGAGCGTGGGTATACCCTTCAACTCAGACGCAGACCACCCCGTTTCAATGGAGGGGTGCAGTCTCTAACATTGCCTCGAAACGCCCTGGTTCTGAGACAAGAGGTATGCAGTCTGAACGAGTCCCTCCCAGCGAGCTGGAGAGCGGGTTTTACAGCCGCTATTTCATGGTACCCAAAAGAGACGGGGGACTCCGCCCGATTCTAGATCTCAGGCCCATCAACAGAGCGCTTTGCAAGCATCCATTCAGGATGATAACGCTGAAACAAATTCTGGTGCAAATTCGCCCCAGGGACTGGTTTGCGTCCATGGACTTAAAAGACGCATACATTCACATTCAGATAGCACCGCATCACAGACGCTTTCTGAGGTTTGCTTTCGAGGGCACAACGTACCAATACTCTGTTCTCCCGTTCGGGCTGGCTTTGGCCCCGCGCACTTTCTCGAAGTTATATTTCCCTTTCGAAAGGGAACTCCATGCTGCGTCCTCTAGAGGGTGCTAAGGGAACGCCTTCAGCTTGACCGGTGTCTGAAGCATGAATGAAAAAACGACAATGAACTTGACATTGGCAGGCGGCAGCCTATGATGTAAACAAAGTGAGTGCAGGTATAAAAGAGCACCTGCGGAAAACGTTATCCTCTTCTTTGTCTTCAAGCCTTGTGTACGGAAGCACATGCGTTTGACTCACGAGGGATAAGGATGCGCTCACTGTTTGCATTCGCGGAACTACTAGAGCAGAGGTCTGTACTCGAGTTTTTGTCAGCGTTTGCACGAGCGCGTTCGCCTCTCAAGGGAGTTGAACAAGCTTAATGCGATGCATTCACAGCTGTTTCTGTTCTTGCCTAATTCTTGAGAGAATTTTGTGCTTGAACAGTGTGTTTGGCTCTCGACGGAGATTAGCCACGCTGCGAGATGTGATTGCGTTGAGAATGCCTGTATGCCTGATTCTCTTTGAGAATTGAGCGCCTCTCACCCGCATTTCGGACCTCGCGGCTGCTGAGGCAGTTAATCAGACCAATCACGGGGAGTGTAGGCGGGGCATGGAAGAAATCTGACGAGGAGTGCTTTGTCTTTCAGAATTCCTTTTTGGTTTTATTTTATTTTACAGAATGGGAACTGTGTATAATGAATATTTAGGTTGAGCATGGTTTCTGCTCCTCTCGCCGAGAGAGTTATACTGAGCACTCTGCTCCCCAGTATTTTTATTTGCAGTTATTTCAGGGTTTTTGAGGCTCTCTGTGAGCCTCCCTGATCAGCTGTTCATGAGCCTGGTAGCTCCCCCTCCCTTTGAGGGTCGCTATGCTGAGATCACAGTTCCTAGTGTTCTTTCAATATAGCTCTGTGGCTGTTTTAGGTTGTTAGGCTCTTGTGGGTCTCCTTGATAAGTTGCTCTTAGGTCGAGCTTTTGAGTACTCCCCTCACTTGAGGTCTTCGTACTGAGTACGCTGATCCATAAGGGTAGGTGGTTGCACTCCCCTTGCTTTAGAGGGTTGGTATGTTGCGTGCTTGCTCCCTAGAGCTCTGTTCGGCACTTAGGAGCATGGTCAGTACTCCTAGCTTAGTACAGCTTTGAGTCGTTAGGCAGTGTACTCTGCTCCCTAGAGCTCTGCTTAGACAGTACTATTAGCATGTAGGCTCTATCGTGAGCCTCACTAACACTGTCTAGCGTTGAGTGTGGTCAGGTCTCCTCTCGTTTTAGAAGTTGTTATGCTGAGACCTCCACTTTTTAGAGCTTCTCTATTAGGGCTGAGCGTTGTTAGGCTTCCTCTCATTTAGGGGAGTCATTCTGCTGAAGCCTCCGCTCTCCAGAGCTCCGATTAGGCAGTAATATGAGTTTGTAGGCTCTTTCTTTTTAAGCCTCACTAACTGCCTCTGGCGTTGAGTGTAGTCAGGTCTCCTCTCATTTTAGAGTCGTTATGCTGAGACTTCCACTTTTAAGAGTCCCCCTACCAGGGTTGAGTGTTGTTAGGTTTCCTCTCATTTAAGAGAGTCATCTTGCTGAAGCCTCCGCTCCCCAGAGCTCCACTTAGGCAGTAATATGTGTTGTAGGCGCTTTCTTTTTGAGCCTCACTAACTGCCTCTGGCGCTGAGTGTAGTCAGGTCTCCTCACATTTTAGAGAGCCGTTGTGCTGAGACCTCCGCTCTTAAGAGCTCCTAAACTAGGATTGAGTGTTGTTAGGCTTCCTCTCGTTTAAGAGTCATTCTGCTGAAGCCTCTGCTCTCCAGAGCTCCTCTTAGGCAGTACCATTACTTTGTAGGTTCTTATGTGAGCCTTGCTAACTGTCTTTAGCGCTGAGTGTAGTCAGGTCTCCTCTCGTTTTAGAGGGTCGTCATGCTGAGATCTTTTGTTTTTCTCATTTTGTCTCTCATAGTTGAGGTATACCTATGATGAAAATTACAGGCCTCTCTCATCTTTTTAAGTGGGAGAACTGGCACAATTGGTGGTTGACTAAATACTTTTTTTCCCCACTGTAGCTCCGCTTAGGCAGTATTAATGTGTAGGCTCTTGAGCCTCACTAACTACCCCTGGCGTTGAGTGTAGCCAGGTCTCCTCTCATTCTAGAGAGTCGTAATGCTGAGACCTCCACTTTTAGAGTTCCGTACTTTGGTAGGTGAGCTAGTCTACGACGCTGGCGAGCTTTGAGCCTGCCTGTAGAGGTTTGTGGCTCGGGTCCTGGCAAAAGTGATTTGGCTGGGGCAGGGAAGGTGTTCCTTGAGTCCTTGACTTAAGGAATCCAGTTTTTGGGCACTCATCCCTCAGCATGGCGGCGTGGGTGAGTTATTTTAGTCAGTTACTCCATGTTAGTGCATTCTGCCCGCTTCAAATCATACACAGAGATTAAATAGTGCGGTAAGACCACATTTATTTGAATGAATTATTGCATGTATTTCAATTAATTATCTATCGATCGATCGAGAGAGAGAGAGTGAGTGAGAGAGAGAGCTGACAGTTGTGTGTATGCTGCGCATCTCTCTACAAACAGTTAGCGTTACTTCAAAAACAGCGATTTTATTGCATGTATTTCAATTAATTATCTATCGATCGATCGAGAGAGAGAGAGTGAGTGAGAGAGAGAGCTGACAGTTGTGTGTATGCTGCGCGTCTCTCTACAAACAGTTAGCGTTACTTCAAAAACAGCGATTTTATCACCTCGTGGCTGGGGAATATAACGTAGCAATCTAGTATCTAGGCTATTTTATTAATAAAAATCACAGGAAAGCGTACACTGTACGACAGAAAAACCTGTTAAATGGTTAACGGTAAATTCCCCTACTATATACGGTGAAAAACTGTATTGGACATTACATGTATTGGACATTAATTTTACGGTAGTATACCGTTTTTGGAAGTGAAAAAGTCCATATAATTTACAGTGAATAACCTTAAATTGACATTCCCAGAATTCCCTGTGTTACATTTCAAATTTGCTGTTTTTTTGTTGAAATAACTATGTTTCTTCTTAGTTTTTTTCTTATCAGTTTTGTATATTAGGCTTGTGTGTTACACCTAATGTTGTTAAATGAATGTTTATTGCATTATTTCAGTTTCATGTGTGTTACCATGATGGTGTTTAGCGTTTGTGTGAATGACACTGGGTCATCATGTGACTTTCTCATCACCAACTGCATTTGGTGGTTATCAGTGTATTACAAAGATACAAAACAGATTTCAGTACTTCAATAGATTGGTATATTAACATTATATCAAATTAAATTACGGTATTTAACTGTAAATTTAAGTTAAAACCGTAAAACCTAAAACGTTGCTACACTTCAATAGGTTGGTATATTAACATTATACTGTATCAGTTAATGAAATTACGGCATTTAACTGTAAATTTAAGTTAAAATCGTAAAACCTAAAACGTTGCTACCATATTTTTAACGGTAAAATTCCGGCAACCTGTTTTGTACCTTACAAAGGTACAAAACAGATTTCAGTACTTCAATAGGTTGGTATATTAACATTATACTGTATCAGTTAATGAAATTACGGCATTTAACTGTAAATTTAAGTTAAAATCGTAAAACCTAAAACGTTGCTACCATATTTTTAACGGTAAAATTCCGGCAACCTGTTTTGTACCTTACAAAGGTACAAAACAGATTTCAGTACTTCAATAGGTTGGTATATTAACATTATACTGTATCAGTTAATGAAATTACGGCATTTAACTGTAAATTTAAGTTAAAATCGTAAAACCTAAAACGTTGCTACCATATTTTTAACGGTAAAATTCCGGCAACCTGTTTTGTACCTTACAAAGGTACAAAACAGATTTCAGTACTTCAATAGGTTGGTATATTAACATTATACTGTATCAGTTAATGAAATTACGGCATTTAACTGTAAATTTAAGTTAAAATCGTAAAACCTAAAACGTTGCTACCATATTTTTAACGGTAAAATTCCGGCAACCTGTTTTGTACCTTACAAAGGTACAAAACAGATTTCAGTACTTCAATAGGTTGGTATATTAACATTATACTGTATCAGTTAATGAAATTACGGCATTTAACTGTAAATTTAAGTTAAAATCGTAAAACCTAAAACGTTACTACCATATTTTTAACGGTAAAATTCCGGCAACCACAGCTGCCGTTTTTTTACAGTAAATTTTACGGAATTTTTTTTTTACAGTGTAGACAACAAGTTTATGCGTGTGTGTTCAGCACAATCAGCGATCTCTCTCTCTCTGTGTGTGTATGCGCGCGTGCGAGTGATGCTGTTGGTTAGTGTGCATCAATTAGAGCAGCGCATTAATATAGAACGGTGATTAAACTGACTTGGAAACACCTGTGCATTAAATGGTTTTACTGCATACCTGCCAGCCAATCAGAATCCAGTATTCAGACAGACCATGGAATATATATAATATATATATATATATATAAATAAAATCATTTGTTTGTATAGTGCTTTATACAATAAAGATAGCGTCAGAGCAGCTTTACAGTGGCAAACAGGAAAATAGTTTGCCACTGTAAGCAGTCATTTTTCAAGTTAAAGTCAGTTCATTGATGATTATGTGATATGTAAACAAACTGCACCTGCTGCAGTATTATCAATAAAAAAATCACTAAAAAAATGGGACATTCTAAAACACTTAACATGAAAAATGCATAACATGGTTTAATGTATTAAGTGTTATTACAGGTTAGCTACATGGGAAAGAGACTCTGATGTTAAAGCCAGAGTAAAAATTGCAGCAGTATCCTTTCAGGTCAACACAGAGAACAGACAGAAACGTAAAAGTCCTAAGAGGGAGGGCAGTTGTCATTACTGTGGTAAACCTGGACACTGGATGAAAGAGTGTAGGAAAAGCAAGAAGACATTACGGTAAATGATCAGCTTCACTCAGCTCCTACTCAGTCTACTTACTACTTTGAAGCAGCCCCTCCCCACTTCACCGAACTGTTGGAGCAACTTGCTCAGGTGTTAACTGTTAGGGCTGTGAGTGCTTAATTTCCCCTGTAATCCATCACAATGACAAAATAATTTTTGTGAAAGGTAGCATACAAGAGAAAGAGATTGACTTTTTGTTGATACAGGTGCAGTAATTACAGGAATTCCTAAAAAAATTGGCTAACAGACAGACTGTAAACGTAAGATGCCCTCATGCAGTGTCCGCACTAATGAATCAAGCAAAAGTCACTTCTGTCACCTGGGGAAATTGGTTAACAACCCTCCCAGCCCCGAACATTGTTTTACAGCGTGCGCCAGTCACAAATCCATCCTCATGTATGATGTCTGCAATGACTGAAGTTGTGTTAGAGGATGAAGGAGAAATTATTCATGATTGTGTTACACTTACATATGCACCACGAGTGAAGTAACAGAAACTCCCATAGAGAATGCAGAATTGGAGTTGTTTGTTGCATGATAAAGTCATTCAGAAACAAGCCGTTAGAGCCTAAGATTGGTTATACTCTGTTAAGACAGGGAAGATTAACATTATGTGTTAATATGTGCAGAATTTGAGTTGTTGATGGTTCAGCTCAATGTCTTGTCACTGATTTCATTCCCAGATGGGGATTACCAGATTGCATTGACTCAGACCAAGGTACACACTTCACAGGACAGGTAGTCAAGGATGGTAGGTAGTCAACTTCTTCTCTGTTTTGGCAGAGAAGAAGTGAAGTTAAGCAGGGAAGTTTAGCGTAAAGTGCTAATAATTTGTGTTATCCTCTGCTTTGCCCAGGAAGGTTAACAATAGTTGATGTGTTAACAAGCGTACCCTCTGTTGATCAGAGAAGTTTTAGTGTTTTGTTTGTGTGGTAACAAAGAAACTCACAAAATGTTTAGAAAGAATGCTAGACTGATCCCCACAACTGAAAAAGGTGGTCTCGCGACTCCTTTGTGGTCAGATAGCGATTTCAAATCACTGTTAGGAGTGCAAATTAACCTAATAGTCACTGAGAAAGTTAGACAAGAACTAACTCAGAAATATGAGATCCATCCTGACAAGACTTGGTCTGTAGATGAGTGTAAAAAGGTACTAGGAGTATGTATACGCAAGAACAATGTGAAAGGCATTATCTGCTGCCACAGAGAATTTGGTTTAGCGCTAGCTACACAACAGTCTCAGCGTAACTTAAAGCTAGAGGAACAGAACAAAGAGCTCCGTGCAGAGTATCCTCTTTTGACTAAGAAAATGAACCGCAACAAAGCTGCAGAAAAAAACTGATGTGGAAGAAGTTAGTCAGCCTGATAACAATTATCCTGACTTACAAGCTTTCTTTGAAACAGATGTAGCCATCCAATCAGTAACTGATGTGCCTGTAGATTCAGTGAAGGTATGTGGCGCTACGAGAAGATCTCAGGAATTTGAGGGAATTGAAAGTGTTCCTCCCAACTCTTCTGTTGTCCAAGTACAAGCTGTTGCCAAAGAACTAGGACCTAAAGATATAGAGAGACTCTCCCAGAGCTTACCCTCAGCACGCACAAATTTTTCTGAATTTAGAAGACCATTGATCAGCAAAATGCGTCCCTACGACATGCCGTTAGCAGAAGTCACACAGCTGATGTACAAATTCTAACTGAATCTGAATTCAACAGTTTTGAGTCTGCTGTGTACTGTATCATAAAGGACCACTAGTTCGAGCATGGTTTGATGATCTTTTATCAGAGTACATATCTGCTTTGCCGTTCTTAGATCTAACATGGTCCACTGGAAGTTTGCAAAACAACTTGGACAGGTTAGCTACATGGGAAAGAGACTCTGATGTTAAAGCCAGAGTAAAGATTGCAGCAGTATCCTTTCAGGTCAACACAGAGAACCAACAGAAACGTAAAAGTCCTAAGAGGGAGGGCAGTTGTCATTACTGTGGTAAACCTGGACACTGGATGAAAGAGTGTAGGAAAAGCAAGAAGACGTTAGGAGAAATGAACAGCTTTACTCAGCTCCTACTCAGTCTACTTACTACTTTGAAGCAGCCCCTCCCCACTTCACCGAACTGTTGGAGCAGCTTGCTCAGGTGTTAACTGTTAGGGCTGTGAGTGCTTAATTTCCCCTGTAATCCATCACAATGACAAAATAATTTTTGTGAAAGGTAGCATACAAGAGAAAGAGATTGACTTTTTGCTTGATACAGGTGCAGTAATTACAGTAATTCCTACAAAATTGGCTAACAGACAGACTGTAAATGTAAGATGCCCTCATGCAGTGTCCGCACTAATGAATCAAGCAAAAGTCACTTCTGTCACCTGGGGAAATTGGTTAACAACCCTCACAACCCCGAACATTGTTTTACAGTGTGCGCCAGTCACAAACCCATCCTCATGTATGATGTCTGCAATGACTGAAGTTGTGTTAGAGGATGAAGGTGAAATGACTCACGATTGTGTTACGCTCACATACGCAGCTACGAGTGAAATAACAGAAACTCCCATAGAGAACGCAGAATTTGAGTTGTTTGTTGATGGTTCAGCTCAAGTCATTGAGGGTAACAGACGAGCAGGTTATGCAGTAACTCCCACCACTGAAGTTGTAGCTTCAGGCCGTCTTCCAGATAATTTTTCAGCTCAAGCTGCAGAACTAGTAGCCTTAACTAGAGCATGCACGCTAGCTTCAGGATTAGTTGCAAATATCTACACTGATTCTAGGTATGCTTTTGGGGTGGTTCATGATTTCGGTGTCATTTGACAAAGTAGACAGTTTCTAACTTCTGCTGGATCCCCCATTAAGCATGCTGGATTAGTGAAAGATTTCATGTTTGCCATGAAATTTCCAAAGAAATTAGCGGTGATCAAAGTGAAAGCACATCTCACAACTAATACTATGGAAGCTAAAGGTAATGCTCTTGCTGATGTAGCTTCTAAACAGGCTTGTTCCTATGCAACTGTACAAGTGTGTTCAGGTAGTACAGCAGAAATAAGATCATTATGGGTAATAAATGAAGCAGCATGGTGCTGTATGCGTTTTTGTATTTATTATTGAACCAAATCCCTTATAGCCTGTCCTGCTCAAATTTCATTTATTTACAACTATACTTTACATTTTGCAAAGATGTCAAGCGACTGTAAAGTTCAAGTTTTTCTATGGTGGTTAACTTGGCGTATTTTCTATATTTTGGGGAGTTTACATTATGCAAAACTATGAATAGAGATGTGCTTTTGCTCTGAAACTCAAAATTAATGCTATAATCAGGATTACTACAGAATGAAAAAATAAATATTTTCTCACCACATGAAAATTCAAACAACAAACCTGCATGCTGTTGATTTTATTGTCATATCCGTGATCACCAGCAAACCCACATTTCCCATGATTCCTTTTTGATTCATAGACCTTCCTGTATCAGAGAGACACAACACCATTAGGTAACTGCGGGTTCTTCATCTCAAAGAAAAACATTCGGGGGAGACATGGAGCAATTTTTCAACTATATAAATATTAAACCTTGTTTTCTTCCCAATCCTACATAAGAATTTGTCTCAAATATTTATTTATTAGAGCAATGACTTGTTAACGACAAGTTAGTATTTGTAGATGACATGCTTAAATACTAAACATAAAAGTCCAGTGTTTAAATTCCTTAGAATAAATCAGTATTTAAAAGTCACTGAACATGCTGGGTGAAGCTATGTGGCAGAGCCAAATGACTTAAGTACACAAAATCTCAGTAATCACCCGGCTGTAAACTCATTTTTACTCAGTGGAACGAATACACTACAGTAAATCCAGGGATTCCAGTAATAAGTGTTGGATGCAGCATCTTCAAATAACAAATGAGAGACTGCTCATAAATATTTTATTTCATTTCTTAAAACCTGACCAGTTAATTTAATGTTCTGCTTCATGCAAAGACCTACAGGCTAGGTAAGACTGCCCAAGCTATAAAGTATTTCACTTCATGACTTTGGAACCACCGATTAGACAGGACTATATCTCCACCAGTCTGCTTCAATGCTTGCTTTCATTTGGGGCTCTACCGTCAGCCAAACCAAACAGACGAGGTTGTCTCAACCCTGCTGTGAGGAACCGTTTCTGGACCTGCCTCTCTGTTTCTGCATCCACATCTATGGTGGCCAATAGCCAATAGCTATTACAGTGACCTCATCGTTTTTCTTTTCTTTTTGTTTATAGAGTTTATAGCTTCCCATTTCAGTATCAAACGAGCATATTAGGGACTACGGTGTCATTAGAAGCATCTAAGGAAAAGGTACTTCCATTGCGTAACATAGTACTCTGTAAAAATAAGTATTTTAAAAATATGGACAAAGGAAATTATTTTAATTTATTTATAAAAATAATAATTTCCTTTGTTAGTATTTTTGTATTGTTTTTCAACAGCAAAATATCTGAATAACCTTAAAACAAGACAAATCTAAATCACAGACAAAACTGTTCTTAATACTTATTTTCAAAGAATATATCTTGAATTAGGCACATTTTTTTCTTAAGCAGAAATCTAATAACATTTAGTGAGGTGCATGCTTAAAATAAGACAAAATGGTAACAGTTTACAATAAGGTTAATGCATTAGGTTTCATGAACTGTGTGTAGCAATGAACAATATCAATCCAGGTTCATTTCATTTCCACATTAATATCTTTTTAACTTAATATTAGTGAATGTATTATTAACTAATATGAAATAACAATGAACATTATTATTTATTTAAATGAACATTAAACTTGATTAATCAATGCCGTAAAAAATTTTGTTCATTGTTTTTTTTTCATGATTCCTAATGTGTTAACTAATGTTTATCTTGTTTTATGGATGTTTAGATATTTTTATTAGAAAATAAAACAAAAGCACTCTTTAAGAAAATAATTTTTGCATAGTAGGTTTAGGCATCTCTATCAATCAAGAAATGTGATACATTTGGACATTTTAACCATGAAGACTGAAATGTAATTATGTGATAGGAAATTTACCGTGCTATGTGCCGTTTCCTCTCAACCATCAAGTGAACCTCCTCAATTCTGTGGTTGTTGGCATAATGCAAACGTTTGGGAAGATGTTGCTTTAAGTATGGTTTGAAGTGCTGGTCTGGCTTTTTACACTGTAGGAGAACCAAGCTTCATGTTTGGTGAAGAAGAAGAGTGCATTCTGTACTGAAATTACCAGAGTACATTTTAAATTAAACCATTTAATTAATCAATATACAGTAGTCCCAAAATATATTTAGAGACTATTTGAGACTAAAGTCACATAAATAATGTTAGACTTTACTCAGAACTAACTTTGTTTTTGGGAACTATTTTTTGCAAAGAGTTTTATCTAACTTTTGACTTTGAATGTATGAAGTCAGTTCTGCTCAAGTTCACAGAAGTGTAGTGACAAGAGTAACCACAGGTGTAGGTCATCACGTTAAGTATGGAGTCTCTCTTAATTTTGACAAACAGAAAGTGTTTTCTTATAAAAAGGCTTGGTAAAGTATAATGTAAATTTACAAAAGTATACTATTATAAAGTATTTTAGAGAAAGTCACTCACCGTAAGGTTTGCTACAATTGCTTTTGCATCATCTAGAGAGAATTTTTTTAAAAATTTCAATTGTTTTGATGCCTGATACTTTTAAAACAAATTAATTTCTATAAATAGTGCACTGTACTCTATTCTAATGTCCTCACTAAGTCACATGCTCTCAACACATTTTTCTCTTGTAATGTGACATTTAATTAACCCAGCCCACACATCAGCCAAAAAGGGAAAGTTCTTTAGGCACATGAAGTATTGCATTTTCATGAAAATTTTCGTTTTTCTAAAGACTAATGCTGATTGTATGCTGATTGTGTAACCAAATGTAAATTTGGTTTCATGTTGACTTAAAAAAAACTTGAAATGTAACAAAATTTGAAAAAAAACAACAACAACAACCTTGAAATGTAACAAAATCAGTACAAAAAATCAACCCAGGTTGTTTGAACACTAAGAATATATGGTTACACTTTACTTGAAGGGGTGTGCATAAGACTGACATGACACCTTCATAATCATGACATGACACCTACATAATCAAGACATGACACATGTCATGAATATGAAGGTTTTTTATGCATGTTTATGACAACTGTCATTAAGTGTCATTCGCTCAGTTATGTAATTTTTAGGACTAATGCTGATTGTGTAACCAAATGTAAATTTGGTTTCATGTTGACTTAAAAAAAACTTGAAATGTAACAAAATTTGTAAAAAAAAACAACAACAACCTTGAAATGTAACAAAATCAGTACAAAAAATCAACCCAGGTTGTTTGAACACTAAGAATATATGGTTACACTTTACTTGAAGGGGTGTGCATAAGACTGACATGACACCTTCATAATCATGACATGACACCTACATAATCAAGACATGACACATGTCATGAATATGAAGGTTTTTTATGCATGTTTATGACAACTGTCATTAAGTGTCATTCGCTCAGTTATGTAATTTTTAATGCAAAGATGACATTGTTTGAGATGTATTTGTTATGGGCTATGGTTAGGGGTAAGGGTAGGGGTAGGGTTAGGTTAGGGTAAGGTCAAATAATGTCATATTTGCATTAAAAATGACATAACTGAGCGAATGACACTTAATGACAGTTGTCATAAACATGCATAAAACCTCCTTCATATTCATGACATGTGTCATGTCATGATTATGAAGGTGTCATGTCAGTCTTATGCACACCCCTTCAAGTAAAGTGTTACCGAATATATTTACAAACGCATAGCAATACTGTATTTCCTGTTAACAAAATCTTGTGATTTCTGATACAACTAGGCCAGGGCAGGCCAGAACTCTCATTCTGCTTTTAATTACTAACATTTAGAGTTGTTTGGATTTCGGGCTCGGATTCTTCCCAGTGACCCAGGAATTAGGATGATGTCCTCAGTGTTGGACATATAAGTGCTCAGGAACTCTGTGTGGTCACAATGAGCTTCCTCCATGCCTGAATAAGAAAAAAATATATAAAATATTTACAATTGATCTACAAATAAAATTGTATCACCCATATAAACCCCAAACAAGGATTTCTAAATGTGGTACCATGGTCTCCAACCAAGATGATATTGACACAACGGTGCAGTTTCATCTGTTTCAGGCCATTCATTAGCTGTCCAATCACCATATCAATGTCCTTCAGTGCACTGTCAAGCTGTAGAATGAAACAACATCTGTGTAATGCTCAATGTCAAAGATACACCAGCAACATCAACAGTCTTCAAATTAGCTTGAAGCAAATTTGAATTCACACACTATGGAAAGTGAATGTAAGCAGTTTTTGCAGTGAGTCTGTATTTGGGCTGAGATTTAGTTTGCATTACTGTTACATTTGCAGCATGACCATATATGTTTATGTGAGTATGTATGTGACTGAAGCAGGTGAGACAAGGCCAGTCAGCTGGTCTTCTAAACTATTAGAATGTTTCCTGTAGACTCTGCTTACCTCAGTGCTGTGGGGTCCTAGTTTGTGGCCATAGGAATCCAGCTGTTCAGAATGCATTGCATAAACATATGGCCTGCAAACACACAGACACCTGTTACATTTTAACCAAAAAGAAAAAAAAAAAATCTACAAAAAACAACACACAGTGACAGTACTGCTGTAAGGTCAAAGTTACTATAAGGCAAAGTCTAACCTTAAAGCAAATAAAAACTAATAACATGACAATTAAGATAACTCCATGAACCTAAAAAAATAAATACATGGAGCAATATTTTTCTGTAGGCAATGTTTCATGTCACAATCACTATAAAATACAGAGCTCTGAATTTTGTGGAGTAAAAAAAATAATGAGAGGAAGTTTACGGTCATTCTGAACTTTTTAAATGAATTGTTCAAACAATAATGAATGTTCACAAGGCATTTTGGGGGTGTTTATTACATACAGACCTCTCCGCATCCGGAAGGTGAAGCCACTGCAACATGGTCAGAACTCTCCTTTCCAATGGAATGACACTGTTAATGCACCACACATTAGAACTGGTACATACACATATATACTATGTATATAGCTGAAATATATAGCAAAGTGTATATAGCTGACATTTTCTGAAAAGGGTGTCAGCAGGGCAGTACAATTAGGCAATCCTGTAAGTTTAAGGCCTGCAGAGTACATATGTACGTATGTATGTGGTTAAGAGTCTTTGAGTGTTTATGTAGGGTATCGAGAGACTAGGGAGCAAGAAAGATCATCTCAATCAATCTCTACAGGAAACCTTTTCTCCACTACCACCTCCACTGTTCCTGACCTCCTGTTCAGTTGTATCAACATTAGGTAAATGTATGCACTAAGTTCAGGCCTCCTCAACCTATGGGCTCAGATAAGAATGGCAAATTTAATTTCCTCAAGGTTTGAGGCCAAAGGAAGTAGCTCTAAAGGTGCTTTGCCCTTCCACTGTGCTGAATTTGGTATGCAGTTGACAAGCGCCTTGCTTGTACATAGGACCTTTTCTCACAAATTACTAGCAAAACAGTTCAAGCTGTCTCTGTCTAAGTCCAAGTGAAAAAGAAATGCAGTCTGAAGGCCCTCATCTGAGTGCAGATGAGGGGACCTTTGTGTTTCAATCCCAGGCAAGTCCAGGACTTGCCAGAGAGAACATCAGAACAAAAACATTCATGTGATTTCCTCCGTTTGATGAAATCTTGCCATTAACTTGCAATTTAGGCTTGAAGTACTTTTTTCAGCTGTATAATTAGATTTTCATGTTCTTTTGCCTGTGCAAAACTTCACATGTCATTGCTTTGTGGTTTCTAGGGTGTTGTGGGAGTTTGTTTTACTGGCACACATGCCCACCTCCCAAGTCTCCATGACATTATGGTCCCTAGATATAAGTTCTCATTCATTATAAGTTTATGGGATTTTTTTCATACATTTAAACATCCACCGGGCTAAAATCATGAAATGGCACACCTCTCCTCAACTGAGGTACCGCTCATGTCCATAACATAAACGGTACAGACAAGTTATTTGATTAACCATGTTACAGAATTAAGTTAAATATGACCTTGAAAAAGACATTGTTTGCATTTGACTTTGGATCATGTTGACTTACACTGGCCAGAAAAATGTACCAGCCTTTATTCCCTGTTTCACTGCTGTTATCCAGATCTAGAAATGGAAAGAATATAAGTTATCAAACAAAACATGTGTCTTCTGTGGAAAAAAGTCATATACATAAGAAAACAGTCTATCTCTCACTTTATATATCATATTACTGAACTAAACAAATTGTAGGGATCACAATTCACAAATGAGAGTCAATTGTTCTATGTGTTGGGTAATTTTCACAAGTGTTTTGGCAAAACTGCAGAGACGAAGTTCCATCTATGATGGCCTCATTTACTGTCACAGCTCAGTCAGTGGGGTATAGAATCAGCCAGAAGAAATAAAGTTCAGTGAAAACTGAAAATTGGCTCCAGCTGTTGGGTTAATAGTTGACAGATGTGTTGGAGATGTCCCCTTTGTTTTCATGTAGCTTGCACAAGAGCTAAAAACTCTTGCAGTTTCAAAATACTGTGCCACTGAGGTACTAGTTATAATCTCTTATCTCTTGCCAAGAAAATGGTTCACAGTTTAAAATGGTGACATGAATATGGCTCAAAGTAGTCTATATATATGTACATGAGTATCACTGGATTGACCTTTTACAGTTGAAGTTTGAGTATATTTCAAATTCAAAGCTAGAGTTGATGTCAAGAATACCAGAGAGCACTGCCTCACAGTTTGTGTGTACAAAGTCTATTATCCCTGGAAAAAGGTACATGTCAGAGAAATATGCATATATATATATATA